CCCCCCCCCCCCCCCCCGCCCCCATGCACCTCGACATGCGCCCGATCCATGAAACATGTACCAAGACGGCTTCGGTTGCAGTGTGGCTGGCGGTGATCTAGGCCCAATGACACCCCGCCCACTTCTGCAACTGTCATCACAATCCGCGCAGAATCCCCAGAAAAGCCAGTCAACAGGTTTGCCTGCAGCTTGAAATCTGCACAGATGAGTGATACACACCGAAACTATCCCGACTGTCTCACGTTTAGTCCGGAATAGAAGGGCCTCGATGTAACAGAGCTCTGCAGGGAACTTCATGACTGCAATTCTGAGATGGCTGCCGAACTTCCCAGAAAGCCATTGCTCGTTGCACTCATACCGGTCCAGGTTCCACAGGACCATGCTGCCTTGTGAATGCTGCAGCTCAGGGCTCGGGCCGGAACTATGGAGGGTTCGATTCGAGGTTTAGGGTTTAGGGTTTAGGGTTTGGGGTTTCGGTGCAGATTCACCAGGGCGCTGAGATGTCACGCCCTGCAGCAAAGCATGGCAAAAAGCTATCACGGAGCTTTCGGGTGGGGCCCCTGACATGAAACGTCTTGTAGACCCAGCAATCCAAGCTCCATGAGACAAGGCCGCAGCCGTCATCTGCACCAGTGATCCCCGTCAGCTCCTGGACAGCCGTCCAAAAGGCATATCAGAAAAAGGCCGTCTGAAACGCAACCCTGAGCATGCTGTCTACTTCTTTTCCTGAAGGCCAAACTCGCTTTTTTTGCAGAGTGGACTGCGGGGTTGGAATGGGGCTTGGGGGCGGATTAATTACAGTATAAGTATATTGAAAGACCCCAGGAATAGTCTAGGTCATTTCTTTGCTGGCCCCTGTATTGCATGTTCGCAGCTTCTGGCTGTGCTTCACTGAGCTCTGTCCTTCCAGTCTATGACTGCGCAGCGGACAGCTCCTTCATGAAGACCTGCACACAGCTAGGGGTTTAGGGTTTAGGGGTATGCACAGGACCTAAAAGGGGGATCTATAGGATGGCTTTTGAGTACATCTCCTGGTGGTCCTGGAGAGGCCAAAGGCAAATGTGTGAACGCTCAGAAGTCCATGAAGATCCATACGATTCTGTGCGAATCACTCCAGCAGTCCTCCGAGAATGATCCCAGGTGACAAACAGATGCATGAAGAGCTCGAAAAAGTGGGTCGGTGTGGAGAGTGAAATTATAGATAGCATGAAACTGCGTCGATGTCGCAGGCGTCGGCCAGCAGCCGTGTTTAGCGCTCATTATAAGTATGACCGGTTCTAAAAGGCTTCCAGGGACAGCTCCCCAAGTGTACATCGGTTGTCCCAACCTGCCAGCGTACCACGGCACTCGTGGCTGTGGAGCTCCCAGATCTTGGCAGAGTGATCCTCTGCAGGATGTGTGGGTGGTTTGGGGTTTGGGGTAGTCTTTCCAAACTCTGGTCTCATGAGTAGCCAGTCCTTACAATGGAAAGTGTGGATCCGAGCAGAGACTGGTGTTCAGAGGGCTCCAAATTAAACCTTAGCCACGCACTTGCTCCTGCAGCCACCACAGGTAACAGCAACAGCGCCGGCAACAGTGGCACCACCACCCACCACCACCACCACCACCACCACCATCACCACCACCAAGTCACTAAGCCGTGCTGCTACTGTCGTAGATGCTTGCCCACTGCAACTACAGCTACAGTCCTGAATGCCGATTTCCCTCTCCCAGGACGCCCACAACGACACCTCTAATAGACCATAATGTACAATAGTATAAATTAAAACGTACCTTCTACATGAAGGAGCTCTCTACAGCATGGTGACTCCATGCAGCGGGAGTGCCTCTGGTCGTTCTGTGTGGGAAACAGGATACAACGTATACACTCTACAAAACCACGAAGCACGAGTAGTAGGCCAGCCGATGCCCGCAAAACCCCGAATGCCGGACCTAAGGGCCCTAGAAACCTACTGTTCTGCCTGCAGTCGCAGCCATTCAACGCGGAACCCCAATCCCAAACTCTCAGTGCGAAGCGCTCCTTCGAACAGCTAATGGCCACCCATCTACCTTTCTCCATGCGCCTGGCGAGCAAGATCTATTGAATAGGTCTGTGAGGGCTTCAAGTTGTCGTCTAGTGCATGATTTGTCTTGTATGCAAGAGGAAGCAGAACAGCAGTAGCAGTAGCAAAAGTAGTGGGAAGCGGACTACGTGGAGTGGCTGTTGCAGTGGCGGCAGTCAAGTGGCGGCAGTCACCATCGTAGTGCTAGTAAAGTAACAGTAGTCGTCGTCATACCATTCGTCGTGGTCGTAGTAGCAGCAGCCGTAGTAGCGGTCGTAGTAGTGGTAATAGTAGCAGTAGCAGTAGCAATAGCAGTAGCAGTAGGA